TGTTTATATATGTGTGGGTATATGTGTGTGCATGTGTATTTTTTTTCTTTTTTTCTTTTTTTTTTTTTTTGAGGCAGGGTCTCACTCTGTTACCCAGGCTGGAGTGCAGTAGTGTGGTCATGATTCACTGTAGCCTCAACTTCCTGGGCTCAAGGAATCCTCCTACCTCAGTCTCCCAAGTAGGTGGGACTACAAGCGCATGCCGCCATGCCTGGCTAATTTTTGTATTCTTTTTGTAGAAACAGGGTCCCACCATGTTGCCCAGGCTGGTCTTGAATTCCTGAGCTCAAGCAATCTGCCTGCCTTGGCCTCCCAAAGTGCTAGGATTACAAGCAAGACCCACCGTGCTCTGTCATGTTATTTTTAAAAGAGAAATTGCTGCTAGGAGGCACTTGGGCTTCCTAGCTTAAATAAGAGTATACAATATGGTGCATGGGGAACCAAGATTCCTGAACATCTATTTTAGAATATAGGGTCATTGCAGATTGCAAAAAATGGCTCTAATTCTGCCTCCTTCCTTGTATTTGCACACTACGAATGTATGAACTTTTCAGCTCCTCCCATTAAAATGTGAAATCTATTTCTCTACCCGTGGAATCTGAGCCTGCTTTATGATTGCATAAGCCAACAAAAATGTAGCAGAAGTGCCAGTGTGCAGGTTCCCTTAGACCACCAGAGGCCTGTGTGCTTTGGCTCTCTCTCTCTCGCTCCTCTGCTTCACTGGGTTATCTTGCTGGGGGATGAGAGACTCCATGGAGCAAAACTGAGTTGTCCCAGCCAAGGCCACTCTAGGCCGGCTGGCCACCAGCTGACCTCTAGTTGACTGAGGATGTAAGAATGAGCCTAGCTGGATCAGCCAAACCTGGCCCACATCAGCAGCCATCACCTAAAGAGACATAATAAACAGCTGTTATTTTAAGCCACTACATGTTGGGGATGTTTGTTACACAGCATTATTGTGGCAATAGATAACTGACCCAAGAGTCATAAGACAGTGTTCCTATTTCATCTGCAGCTTTCATCACATTACTTGACTCCCAGTGATGAGTAAATATATGTTGAGTGAATGAATGTGCTTTCGGAATCACTGACCTAACTACTTATCTTTTCCCAACTTGTACACTAAATCGTCCTAATGCTAAGCCTTTGCTCATGCTGTTCTCCTGTCTAGAATATTCTCCTCTGTTTTCTGCCTGGTGAATTTCTATGTTTCCTTCAAAGTTCTGTTCTCTCTGGCCTCCTGTGACTCATCCATCTCACACTGATGCTTCAGTGTCCTGGGCAGGTCCTGGTGCCAAGCGTACATCACAGTTTGACTTCCATTGTTTAGCTGGGTAAATGCTTTCCCATCCCGGGACTGTGAGCTCCTTCCTTGCGTCTAGCACAGTGCTTGGCTCATAGTAGGTCCTTGGGAGGTACTGATTCATTCATTCATCATTCATTGACTCACTCAATAATTAGTTATTGAGCCACGTGCCAGGTTCTGGTCTAAGTGTGAGGATACAGCAGTGCACAATATAGACATGATCCCTGTGCTCATGGGACTGACGTTCTGGCTCAAGGTAGGGGAAGACGCCAATAAATAAACAAGTAAGTAGAAAAAGCATAGAGTAATAATGCTTGCAGAGAATTAAATCAAGGGTGGCACCATGGAGAGGGGTGTGGTGGTCAGGTAGGTCTCTCTGAGGCAGTGGGAGTCAAGCTGCCATCCAAATGGCATGGAGAAGCTAGCCCTACAAAGGAGAAGATAATTCCAGGTGGAAGGAACAAGTAGAGGAAAGGTTCTCAAGCAGGAGTGGACTTGAAGAATTCAATGAATGAAAGGATGAGTGAAGCAACAGGAGAAAGAGAGTGGGGATGAGACATGTTAGAGGGTCAGGCAGAGCAGGGCACATCCTGGTCAACCTGTAAAGGGCTCAGATTTGTTTTCTGTGCAATGGGAAGCCAGGGTTCTGAGAAGGAGGGCGCTGTGGCATGACAGATTTAAAAGGATTCCGCTGGCTGCTATGGGGGGGACTGGACTGGGGGTGGGGGAGGAAATCTGAAGATGGATTTCTTCAGATTGGAGGCTGATGCAGTTTTCCAGACAAAAGGATGCTTTGTCTAGGTAGGCAGTGGGGAAAGAGAAAAGGGGGTAAATTCCGGATGAGTTTTGAGAGGAAAGCCAACAATCTATTGGGTTGGATGTGGAAGAATGAGAGAAAGAGATGAATGAAAGATAACAGTAAAATGTTTGACCCAAGCAACCGGGTTGATGGTACTATTTCTAGAGAAGAGGAATGCTAGGGAAGGAGCATGTTTTGGTAGGGAAAAGCAAAAATTGGATTTTGGCCACATGAAGTTGGAAATGCATATTTAATGTCCAATGAGGTAGGGGAACCACATTATGAAGTTGGACATCTGAGTCTGGAATTCCTAGGAAAAGTTAGGGAGTCAGAAATTTGAAAGTCAATGTGGAAATTGATTGAAATGGTCATCCAGGACCTGACTTGACCAGGGCCAGATGGGCTGTGAAGACCACAGGGAGATAGAGCCAATGCTTAGTTCTCAGCTTGGTGTGTCTGGCACCTGGAGTTTTTGTAAGGATGGCCCTGATTCCTTATGACATCTGCACTGTCTGAGAGAGGCACAGATGACTCAGTGATGTCTCTGCTGGTTGGAAAGGGAGGAGAAGCACAGGGCTTCTCCTGTGCTTCATGTGGCAGAAGTGATGAGAGCTATTCCTGGTGATGGAGCCTCCTCCCAGTCCTCCCTCCTCTGGCCACTCTGCCCTAGGCAGAATTCATTCATTTCCATGAGATGAAATAAATGATGAATAATTTCCATTCATTTCATTTCATGGAAATGAATCATTAAATGGGTCCCAGCTTCTCTGTGGCAGATGCAATGCTCTGGGATCACCATTCTATTTCCTTCTCCAGGGTACACAGGAAAACTGCATTTCCCAGCTTCCTTTGCAATCAGATTGGGCCATGTGACTACTCCTGGCCAATGGAGTATGGACAGGGGTGATTTATGTTCTATTAGGCCTGGGCCTTATCACATCCTGTGTGATCATACTAGTTGCCCAACTCCTGCTGTAACAAATTGCCACAAACCTAAGTTTAAAAGAATATGGCAAATTTATTCTCTTACAGTTTTGGAGTCAGAAGTCTGAAATGAGTCTCATGGGGCTAAATGTGTTGGCAGGGCCAGTTCCTTCTGGAAACTCAAAGGGTAGAATCTGTTTGCTTGCCCTGTTTGGCTTCTAGAGCCTGCCTGAATTCCTTGGCTTGTGGCCTCTTCCTTGCGTGACTCCTATATCTTGGTTCTGCCATCACATCTCCTTCTACTGCCTTTTACCTTCTTGCCTCTCTCTTATAAGGACGTTGTGATTACATTGAGCCCACCTGGATAATCCAGGCTGATATTTGCATCTCAAGATGCTTAACTTGATCACATCGGCAAAATCCCTTTTGCCATGGAAGGTAACATATTCACAGGTTCTAGGGATTAGGATACGGACATCTTTGGTGAGAGGGCATTATTCTGCCTACCACAGTGACACTCCAGCCTTCTCTTATCCTCCCCTGGGGATTTTGGAGGCTGTATGTTCCAGGTGATGTAGCTACAAGATGCAACAGGGCTGCTCAACCTGCTTGGGCTTCTCATGAGCCCAAAATAAATCTTTATTATTGTGTTAGGCTGTTCTTGTGTTGCTATAAAGAAATTCCTGATACTGGGTAATTTATAAAGAAAAGAGGCTTAATTGTCTTATGGTTCTGCAGTCTATATAGGAAGCATGGTGCCAGCATCTGCTCAGCTTCTGGGGAGGCCTCAGGGAGGTTTTGCTTGTGGCAAGAAGGAAAACAGGAGCAGTCATGTCACATGACAAAAGCAGGAACAAGAGAGAGAGTCAGTTGGGAGTGGGGAGGTGCTACACACTTTTAAACAACTGAATCTCACGAGCACTCACTCACTCATCACCAAGGGGATGGCACTAAGCCATTCATGAGGGATCTGCCCACATGATCCTAACACTGCCCACCAGACCACACTTCCAACACTGGGTATTGCATTTCACCATGAGATTTGATGGGGACACAGGTCCAAACCACATCAATTGTGTTAAGGCAGTAAGACTTTGGGCTCAATATGTTACTGCAGCAGGGCCTATCCTATCCAGACTGCTCACAATCTTCCATGGGCTCTTCTTGGTGAATGCCAAGTCTTGACCATGGCTGAGAGGGGCCAGCCCCACCCCTCTCCAAAGATTCTTGGCCCTTCTCTCTGAGTTAATAGCTGAATGTCCTGAGGAGTTTGTAGTGGTTGAGTAGAAAGTTCTGAGAAACCTCTACCACTGACATACATGTGACCTTCACTGATGTCAGCCTTGGCCATGTGACTTGCTTTGGCTAAAGGAGTGTTCATGGGCATGACACAGGCAGAGGCCTTAAACGTGCTTGAATGGTTTGAGTTTCTTCTTGAGCTTTGGTGATGTACCATAAGAGGATCAAATGTCAGGTAGTCACTTCCCCTTTAGTGTGGGCCCCAGACAAACACCCATGACACCAACCAACCCATGGAGGAGGCCTGAACCCAACCCACAGCTTGGAATCCAGCCCAGTTGACCTGCTGTCTGAAGCAGAACTGCCCAGCTGAGCCCAGATTAGATCAGCTGAACCACTTCAACCTGAACATGAACATAATTACAAATGCTTCTTGTTGCATGCCATTGAGGTTTGGGTTGGTTTGTTATGCAGCATTATTGTGGCAACAGCTGACTATTACACTTAGCCTGGAGGAATTTGGATTTCTCAAGTCTCTGGCCACATTTCACACCTGGATGCTAGGACTTGAGTGAGATAGTGAGCCCCATGTCCCCTGTTCATCTGGGAAGAGCATGCCTTCCATCTCCCTTGCCATCCCCCTCTCTGTGCCTGTCCCAGTACTGAATGCCAGGAGGAGGGGCCCGGTTGCTGCTACTGAGCAGATAAAGAATGCAGAGCCACAAACCGAGGTGGGGAAAATTGTTCTGTTTGTTTTAATTAAACCGACTGAAGAAGCCAAGACACAGACGGAGAGAGAGACTAAGAACAAGACTGGAAATAGTTTAGAAAAGAAATGAAAACCGGTCGCGGAGATGTCAGTGCCCAATGGAGTGGCCTGGGTGGGTGCCTTCACGTCAGCTCCAGAATCACTGTCAGGGCGAGCACCAAGGTGAGCCGGGCGCCAGTGGGGCCAATGGAACCTGTGCCGGGAGACAGGAAAAGGGTCAGAGCCTGCAGACCCAACCCTGTTCCAGAACAGCAGAACCTCCAGGTCCCCAGCAAAGATGCTAGATTTCAGCATCAGGACAAACTGGGTTTGAAGACCAGCTCTGCCACCTGGCTACCTAACTGTCCATGATCCCCTCCCCTACCCCTAGGCTTGCTGGGCTGTGGTCAGACTTCCTAGAAGCCATGAAGATGGTGCAGTGAGGACCAACAGTGGGAGTCTCCATTGTAAACTGTGAGATTGGCTCCATGTAGGGAGGGGGTGTGGCAGGCCTGGGAGCAGTGTCTGGGCCCCTTGGGGTGGTGCTAAGGCTAGAGCAGGTTGGGGGGTGGGGGCAGCCCAGGGAGGACAGTATAAAGGGCCTGCACTGAGACATCCGTCGATGCTCCCAACCACCCTATGGAGTGGTTCAGAGTCTCAGAACGCAGCCCCACGGTCGACGTTGGACACACCCTTCTGAGGTCAGAGCAGCCGGGCTCTGAGCTAAGAGAGCTAGAGATGCCATGGACAGTGAGACCGAGCTCTGAGCTAAGAGGGCCAGAGATGCCATGGATGGTGAGATGGGGCACAGTTGGCCCCAGAAATCTCAGCTGGCTGCTTTGGCAGGCTGAGTCCCCCTTTATTGCCTCAATCCCTACCTCTGCCCACTTTGGACTCTGACTCTGCCCTACTAGAGGGCAATGATGTGCCTGAGGGGTCAGGGAGTGGCAAGGGTATGCACATGGGAAGTGTGGGGAACCAGAGCTTTCTGGTGCCTCAAAAGCCACTCTCTTTCAAGCAAAAAATCCTGAGGGTGGAGACTTACCATTGGAGTCCTCCGTTCCTCTTGGGATATTTGGGTTTTCTGTTGGAAAGAAACAGAAAGAGAACCAAAGAGTGGATGGCATTCAGAGCTCAGGGAAGGAGAGGCCCTTTACCCAGCACCTGCTGTGAGGTATCACATGCAGTGTCTCAGTGCAGCCACACAACCTCCAGGGGAGCTGGATAGTATCAGCCCCCTTTTGCAGATGGAGGAAGTGAGAGAGGTTAAGCAGTTTGCCTAAGGTTCTTTCTGAGTCCGAAGCTTATTTATAGTTGTAACCACCGAACGACCCTGCCTCCCAGTGGGGCCCCCTCCCAGGGCAAATTTAGGAGATTTGGGCCCCTGTTGCTTCCTCCTCCTGGGGATACCTCCCAGCCAGGACTCGTCCCTGTGGTTGTTCTCCCAGTCCCCAGCTGAGCGCGCCATACCAAACACGATAAGCCGGGTGTGCGTGTCGGTGGAACCCAGTGGGTTCTGGGCAGTGCAGCGATACATAGAGCCGTTGAGCTCAGCAGGAACCCGCTCCAGCACCAGCTCCTTCCCGTCGAACTCAGCACTGCCGTCCAGGAGGCGGCTCCCAACCCGCGTCCAGGTGAACATGGGCTCCGGGAAGACTTCGTTCTGTTGGCCAGAGCAGGGGAGAGTTGGGTCACAGGAGGGCCCATTCTGCCAGAGCAGCAAGGGGTCATGGGCATGCCCGGCCAGGGCTGGCACAGCATTCTCATCTGATGGGCTGGGAATGGCTGCCCTGAACTCCAGGAGGAGAGGGAGTCTGAGACTGAAGAGAATGTCTCGTTGAAGAGCTAGGTTTACTCTGAGTTCTAGATGGAGAAGTGAAACATGTATGTACCTCTTTGCCATTCCCCATGGGAACCGATTCTCCCAATTACACATTGGGAAACTGAAACCCACTGGATGTGGCTGGGGATCGAGGGAAGGGTGTTAGAGAGGACCGCCAGGAATGCTGGTGCTGGATCGATGCCTCTACCTCCCCCCCACCACCCTCCCAGATGCTCAGAGAGAGGCTGACCTGAAACCCATGGACCAGAATCCTCACTGTGTCCCCGACCCGGGCTCTGCTGGGCGTCATCACAATTTTGGGTCCTTTCGGGGCAACTTTAGGGAGAGAAAGGCCAGGTCAGAGAGAGTAAGGAAAGGAGGGACAGGGTACATGGAAGAGAAAGTTCTAGTCTAGCGATCAACATCCTTGGGATCAGCTGCTTCTGTTAGAAGCTCAGTGTGCTCATTCATTCATTCATTCACACCTGCATTCATTCAGACATATTCCCTAAGCCCATGCAATGAATCAGACGCCCTTTAGGACCTAGGGAGTCAATGGTCTATATAGGACACAATTCCTGCCCTTGGGTGGTTCACACATCAGTAGGGGAGAAAGACAAACAACCGAGAAGTACAAGCCAGCACCATGAGGGACAAGATCAGAGAGGCCCAGTGGACGGCGGGGTCAGGGAGGGAAACTTACCTGGGGCAGGTGCTACTAGGCTGCTGATGGGGAGCAGCCTGTGCCAGCAGCCAGACTTGAGGTACCCCAACTCCCACCCACGCTACCCCCTTGGGAGGTGCATTTCTGGTGTCATCAGCCCCATTGTCCAGTTGAGTTAACTGGACCTCAGAGAGTCATGAAGTGATTTGAAAAAGGTCACACCTTGATGAGAGCCAAGATCAAGGTGCGGGTCTCCTCCTCCTGATTCAGTGCTGTTTCTAACAGGTTAATCTTCCCAGTGGGATTTTTCTAGAACCTCTGGGTAGGGATGGACACAGTGTGGGAAGATGACCTCCTTCCTTGTGCCCAGCCTCACTGCCTCTCTTCCTCACTTCCTTGTATCACCTCTTATTCAGTCCCTTTATATCACCGAACTTGAAAGCCAAGATGCCCAAGGGCAGGGCTATCCTCTGAACAATGCCTGAGAATATCAGGGATGGAGGAGATACTTGGAATCATTGGGTCTGTTCCCTTCATTTCAGCTGAGAAACAGAGCTCACTGGATAATGTAGAGGCTTGTCCAAGGTCACTCACAGAACCAATTACCCATGTTTCCTGACCTTCTCGCCAGCACTCTTTTCCCCAGATTCATTCATTCACTCACTCACTCAACAATAATTAGGGAGCCAGCCATTTGGAGTAGAGCAGAGGATAGGGTGGTGAACAAGACCCAGTGTCTGCTGACACGGAGCTCCCACTTCAGTAGGGGTGAGAGTTCGTAAGCAAACAAGCACATATGCAAAACAGGATGAGAGTGACCGTGCTTCATGCAGATCACTAGACCCAGGGGAGGGGGCTCAGAGTTGGTGGGTAACATCTTCAGATAGTGGTCAGGGTGCCTCTTCCAAGGAGGTGACATTTAAGCTGAGCTGTGAACCCCGTGAGGCATATTCCAGGCACAGGGAACAGCCAGGGCATGGGACAGAGGCAGGTCAGGGAGGGAAGGGTGTTGGGAGACAGATCCCATAGAGCTTCCAAGACCGGAGGAAGGGGTGAGGGTTTTGTTTGGTACTCTATGCTTTGTGCTACTCCGTGTAAACATCTTCTAAGGGTGGAAAAGGTTTGTCCTGAGGCCCTGGGGCTGCCCTGGGATCACCCCCACCTTTCCTTGCTGGTCCCCAGACCTCTCTTTCTGACTCAAAGCTCTCAGAACAGAAATCAGGGCAGTTGGCAGATGTGGGTGGTCTCCCAGGCACTGCCAACTTCATTCTCTGAGAATGAAATCAAAGGATTATTAATTAAACCATGAGCAAGACATCTGAAATGCCACATGGGTCTAGGGAAGCATCCATGGGAAGAGCAGGGCTTGCACCACGGGGTGGGGGAATCGCTGGGAAGGGAAGGGCTGGTTCTGCAGCTTCATCTGTCAGTCAGTCAGGTGGAAGGGCCACTGGCCTGGGAGACCTGCGAGCTGAGTTCTAATCTGTTCTGTGTGCCCTTGGATGAGTGGCTCCCCCTCGCTTTCCCAAGTGCCCCATGGGAACAATGATACCCCTTGCCTAACACGCGGGGCCATTAGGAACATCAGGCGGTGGCAGGTTTGATGGCTAACATTTGTTTAGCGCGTCCTAAGAGCCAGGACCTATGAAGTGCCATATGCATAATCTCATTTAGCCTTCCAGCCTTTGAGATTGTCTCCATAAGGAAATGAAGGCTCAGGGAGCCCGAGTAAGTTTTTGGGTTTTAAAATGAACTCTCAAGTGCTGTAGACGTCGATTTGCAGATGGGAAACCAGGTCTAGGGCAGTCTGACCCTGGGTAATCTTGGCGGCTCTAAGTGCTGCTAGGGTGGCATTGTTGGCTGCAGCCAGGAGAGGGCGCGGAAGGGCATCCCGGTCCTGGAGAAGGCTGGAGCCGTGGAGGACCCGGCAGACACCTTTCCTTTCTAGGTTAGATTTCTCACTGCCCTGCTTTCTAAAGGGCCTGCCTTACTCCTTCAGGCCTGGGCCTGGGCCTGCTGGTTCTAAGGGAAGAGGGAACTAACCTTCTCAGGTGTCAAGCATGCGCTAGACTCCATTTTAGGACGGTCACACCATTCTGGTACTTATGAGGCAAGTTACCCCAAAACCCATTGTGCAGGTCACAGAACCGGCCCTCCAGGGGGGCAGTGACTTATCCAAGGTCACACTATAGGAAGTATTAGTTACAAGACGTGATGGCACATAGGGCTTCAGAGGGAGGCTCAGAGCCCAGGGGCAGAGGTGAGGCAGAGATGGGTGCCTTCTTCCACCCAGGGCACCCCGGCTCCTGGGCTCCTGTGTGCATCTGATCCTGAGGGGCTCAGAGGGTGGGCAGAGGAGGGGTCTGGTCCTCCCTCATTGCTTTCAAGCTCTATCCTGGCAGCTGCCACCAGACAAGAGCCTTTGCAGCAGATGGTCCCTGACTCCCTCCTTCACTGCTGCGTTAAGATGTTGCTTCCAGAAGCCAAGCCAGCTGCTGTCAGCCTCCCCACTCCTTCCACCCTCAGGCTCCTGACACTCAGAGCCTGGCCCATTAGCAGCTCCAGACAGTCGAAATCTGGCCCCACTTGCCTGCTTCTGACCACAGTGGCTGAGAGTGCCCGAAAGGAATGCTCTTAGTCTCTGGACTTTTCTGCCTGTCAACCCCTGGACACAGAGAAAGAGTAGGAGTCCAGAGACCCAGGATTGATGCCTAGCCCTCTACTTTCTGGCTGCATGACTTGGATGAGTCATTTCAACTTGTTGGGCCTCAGTTTTCTAACCCGCAAATGGGGAGAATAGGCTACCACCCTGCTTGAGGAAACACTCTGAAAATGACAATGGAGGAGGGAGATAAGACTGCAGTGTGAAATGTAAAGTGATGTCTATCTGCTCAGGGAATGAAAAAGATCCTGGACATATAAGTTGCCTTCTTTACCTCTCCTGAGCATCCTGATGCAAGGATAGTACTATGGAATCTCAAGGAAAAGCTCCTCTAGCTTTCCCCCAGGAATTCTGGGTGTTTTCTAAGACAATCACTCACCCATTCACCCAATCATCCATCCATCCATCCATCCATCCATCCATCCATCCATCCATCCATCCATCCATCCATTCAAATATCCATCCATCCAAACATCCATCTATTCATCCATCCCTCCAAACATCTATCCAAACATCCATTCATCCATCCATCCAAACATTCATCCATCTAAACACTCATCCATCCATCCATCCACCCATCAAACATCCATCCATCCATCCATCCTTCCATCCATCCAAACATCCATCCATTCATCCATCCCTCCAAACATCCATCCAAATATCCATCCATCCATCAAAACATCCATCCATCCATCCATCCATCCATCCATCCTTCCATCCATCCAGGCATTCATTTTATTCATTCATCTATTCAAACATCCACCAATCCATCCACACACCTACCTATAAACCTACCAATTTGCTTACCCATCCATTTATTCATTTGCTCTATCCATCTAATTCTTTACCGTACACCTAATTTGTGGTGGTCACTATCCAGGGTCACTGTTGGGGACACCATGATGAATAATAACAGTAGCTTATATTTCCTGAATATTTGCTCTGCCTGTCACTATAAGCACTTTGTATGCACTGCCTTACTTAATCTTCTCAACAACCTAGAAAAGCATTAATTAATTAATTGTTAAACAGTTGTTTATTAAGAACTATGTTAGGGGTTGTTCTGAGCCCTGTACTCTGTGAACTAGGTAGATAAAGACTCTGCCCATGTGCCATTTAAATTTTAGTGGGTGACGGGAACGCCCAGAGTTTGACTGGAATGGTGGTTACACTGGCGTTCACATTTATTTAAATTTGTTAAATTGTGCACTGAAGGACCTGAATTTCCCAGTAGGTAAATTTTATTACAGTTAAAAAATATATGAAGAATGAATTTTTTAAGCCAGTTCACCTGACTGCCATTACATCTAAAACCAAATCTCAATTCCTAGCTTGTGGGCGATTCAGACAATAAGCAAATATAGAATATACTTGCAGGTGGAAATGAGTTATGTAAGAAAACAAAGCAAGAGAAGGGGTTGAAGGAACCAGGAGGAAGAGGCTGCTTTAGATAGAGTGTTCAAGGAAGGACCCTTTGAGTAGAGGCCTCAAGCAGAGGCCTCCTTCCAGTCAATTTCCATTCTTCATAGGTCAACACTGTTCCCGTTTCTATCAATGGAGATTTATTTTTTGTTCTAGAATTTCATATAAATGGACTCACACAGTGAGTACTCTGTCATCTGACTTCTTTTGATCAACAGTTTTGTTTTTTTTTTTTTTTAGACAGAGTCTCACTCTATTGCCTAGGCTGGAGTGCAGTGGCATGATCTTGGCTCACCGCAACCTCTGCCTCCCAGGTTCAAGGCATTCTCCTGCCTTAGCCTCCCAAGTAGTTGGGCCTACAGGCATGAGCTGCCATATCCAGCTAATTTTTGTATTTTCAGTAGAACCAAGGTTTCACCATGTTGGCCAGGCTGGTCTCAAGCTCCTGGCTTGAAGTGATCCACCTGCCTCAGCCTCCCAAAGCTCTGAGGTTGCAGGTGTGAGCCACGATGCCCAGGCTGATCAACATGTTTTTGAGCTCCATCCATGCTAATGCGAGTATCACGAGTTCATTCATTTGTATTTATA